ATATATAAATTTAAAGGGTTCTTGAAACTAAGTATAATTTACGGTAAATATAAATCAATCTTTCAATTAAAATTTTAAATAGTGATTAATAAAGAGCCTAATATTTTTGACTGAGGTATTTTTATATAAGATTAGGCCATATACGTGCTCATCATACGTCGCCACAGATCGGTGGAAAATTTCAAGTGTCCGAAATACAAGTGTACATATTTATTAATCAGCATATGGTGCTTTAGTCACATGAAAATTATAATTAATATTAAAAGTAATTATCATCATAATCACATGTGAGTAATTATCATCATTATTATGATTGTGTTATGATTATAGTTTTTAAGAAATTTTTCAAATAATTTTTCAGAATTTTTATGTAAATTTTAGAATTTTTTAAAATTTCTGAATCATTTTATAACTTTTTTTAATTTTTTTAAAAATTCCTCAAATTTTTTATGCATATTGTAACCTTTTTCGAGAAAGTCTATATCGTTTTTAAGAATTTATATATATATATAAATTGTGAAAAATATTTTGATTTCTAAAAGATTTTTAATTTTATAATTTCTTATAAAATCTCATAAAATCTGAAAACGTTTAAAGTATTTTTTTTTAATTGATAGAATGTGTGTAAATAAAAATTTTTTAAATCTTAGAATAAGTAACTATCAGGGTTGAGTAGTAACTAGTTAAAATATTAAAAGTTAAAAAAAAAATTAAAAAGTTAATAACTTTTAACTTAATTTAATTAATTTTAAATGCATTAATTTTTAACTTAATTTAGTTGCTTTTAAACTTTAATTTATTAACTTTTTTTAAATTAAAAATTTTTCTATCGCTCTTAATGCTAATATTTTTTTTCTTTTAAAGTCAAACATTAGAGAATTAATTTAAAAAAAGATCAATGATTTTATGATGAGAAATCTATAATAAGAGCCACTCCATACGGTAGCCAGTTTTTATTGATTCGCTAGGTTTTGTCAATTCCCGCTTATATTTAAATCACACTAATTTTAGGTATCATAAACGTTATATTTCAGCAACATAAATATGAAATGAGCCTTAGATGAAGAATTATTGTGGAACAGTATGTATATCCAACCATTTTCTAAATTTTTACGTATATTTTTTGTAACAAATATCTAGACGATGTAGTCGTAAACATGAGCAGTCGTTTTAGAAGTTAAAGAAAGTTAGATACAAGTTAAAGAAAGAGAAATAATGCAAACATATATAGGGTAAAAGCAGGGATTATGGAATAGCTTTTTTTAAATTAAATTGCTCCGATATAAATGCATATGAAGACTTTAAATTTACACAGAACTCTTGAGAAATATGTTAATAATGCATATGAAGACTTTAAATTTACACATAACTCTTGAGAAATATTTTAGCTACAACATCCAATAAATGAAAGTCGCCAAAATTTAAGTCCAATGTCAATATTAACAAACAAGTCAAAAGTGAGAAAATGGGGGGGTCTAAAAAATGGGATCTAATATGGAATACCAATGAAATTTTGACCATAGTAATAAATAACACAATAAATGAAATCCAAATTTGTTTATTTATATAAACGGATCAAGAAAAATAGAAAACTGTTCAATTTTTATTGTACAATAACACAAAAAATATAATAGCATCATTACGAACGTTATTACGCATGGACAAATAAAAAACGGCAAATAAGTTGATAAATTGCAAATAAGCTGATATAGAATACATGCTGTAATCTAACCTAACCTAATCTAATCACGAATAAGTTGCTGACATGCATGGAATTTATTCCATATTGTCAATCCTCGATATATTCCACATTACCTGCATGTCGTCATATGACAAATAAAGTCTTTCCGTAGCAATAAATAAGTTTGAAATAGCAATTAATCTGCATAATATTGTTCATGCAACATATTATTAAAAGCGTCTGTGCAATATAAGCATTAAAAAAACTTGCCTTCACTTTGTGAGAACACTTTTTAGAAAAAGCTGCCGAATCTTCTAACGTAACGAAAATGAATAAATGTTAATTGTAGCAAAACGATTGGTCGGACCGAGTTCATTGCTTGTTATGACATATTTGGTAACAGTTGCAATAACTAAATTGCCGCCAGATTGCAATGCTTTGTTTAAAAAATAAGCCACTATCCCATATTAGTAGCCTATGCCATAATCCCTGATTTTACCCTACCCTTCTCTCAAGATTTTGACAAAAACGCCTTATATGGTGTGACTTTTATTATATATGTATAAGTAACTTACGTGTGAATATAAAATTAAATTTACCTAATAATCTATATTTGTAAGTGTTATTTAAA